CAGCATCTTAGCAGTTTGGGGTTGTTTGAGCTGGAAGTGATGGGTGTCAGGAGTCAACTGAAGGGGTGGATGGGGTGTTGGAGATCAACGTCTTTTTGGTTAAGGGGTGATGAGGCATTTGGGATCAACTATGGGGGTAATGGGGGGTTGGGACTCTCTTCTTAGGATGATGGGGAGCTGAGAATGAGGGCTGGGGGCTCTTGTTGAGGGCTCAGGGTCATCTGGGTCAGAGGCGTGAATGCTCCCCCGCAGAATAACCAGCTGCAGGAGCTCCCCTACAATGAGCTGTCCCGCCTCAGCAGTCTTCGAACCCTCAATCTGCACAACAATCTCATCTCCTCGGAGGGTGAGGGAGACAACAGAAGGCTGCCCCTCCCTGGCTCAGCCCCAGCAGCCCTCTCCCTCCCCCATGCTGGGTCTGTGGGCAGCTCTGTGGCAGTTCCCAGAACTGCCCTTTGCTGAGCAGGATGGAAACTCAGGGGATGCCGGGGCGGGGCTGGGGGGGGGGCAGGGGGCGGGGGTTGTGGGTTTTGTAGACTGGGAGGGGGGTGCCCGGAGGAGCTTCTGCCAATTCCTGGCCAGGAGCCCCAGGGCGGCGGGGAGCACAGACCCCCCGCCCCCCACTAGGCCTGGGGTCCCCTCAATACCGGCCCCACTCCCAGGCCTGCCCGACGAGGCCTTTGAGTCCCTCACCCAGCTGCAGCACATCTACGTTGCCCACAACAAGGTGAGCCCCCCACCAACCCCCGACCCCACCCCACCGCAGCCAGCGCACACAGCACAGAGCGCAGAGGGGACTGCATGGGGCTGGAAGGTGCCACCAGGACCAGCGCACTGTGCTTCCACAGCTCTCCGTGGCCCCCCAGTTTCTGCCTCGTTCCCTCCGAGTAGCGGATCTGGCTGCCAACCAAGTGACGGAGATCTTCCCGCTCACCTTTGGGGGAAAGCCGGAGCTCAGGTAGCCCCTGGGCCGGCCCAGCCCCAGGCCTCAGGCATGCCCAGGTCACTCCCCACAGTGGGGTCTGAGGGAGGCCATGGGCCTGCCCTGGGTGGTCGGGGGAGACAGGACCCTAGATGCTCTGTCTGGAGAACTACACACACACACACACACACAATGACGGCAGCCCTGAGCTGGGGTGCAGAGCGGGAGTGGTGGGGAGCCCAGGGGCAGGCTGGTGGCCGGAGCCTGGCTCCCCTTAGGTCCGTGTACCTCCACAACAACCAGCTGAGCAACGCTGGCCTGCCCCCCGACGCCTTCCAAGGCTCCGAGGCCATCACCACCCTCAGCCTCTCCAACAACCAGCTCAGCTACCTGCCACCCAGCCTGCCACCCTCCCTGGAGCGGCTCCACCTGCAGGTGCCCCTCCTCCCCTCACCGCCCTCCCGGCCCCCTTCACCTCTCTCCTGGGAGACCCCTCTGCCTCCTCAGATTTCCAGCAGTCAGAAATACCCTTCTCTGAGTCTCTACCACCGGTGCAAGCCCATCACAAGTGCTCTTTGAGCAGCCTTGCTATCTATAGCCAGCTCCTCATCTATCACTTCCTTATTCAAGAGCCTTCTGGGGCTCTCCACTGCCCTCTGCTCCAGACCCTGGGGGTCATTCTCTCCTCCCTTCCCAGAACAACCTCATCTCCAAGGTACCCAGAGGAGCCCTGAGCCGCCAGACCCACCTCCGTGAGCTCTACCTCCAACACAACCAGCTGACGGACAGTGGCCTGGATGCCACCACCTTCAGGTGGGACCTGGGACAGGGTGGGATGGGGTACAGCCTCGTCCTGGCAGTAGGGGCCGAGGATTCAGGGCCTGGGGCCCTTACCCTTTGCCCCCCTCCTCTGTATCACTCCTAACCCACAGCCTCATTTGGTGAGCACCTACTGTGCACCAGGCTCAGCCCAGCACCTGGTGGCCATCCTTGCGCCCTAGCTACCTTGTTCGGTCATCTTGTTGTCCAACGTCACAGCTGCCACACGCAGATCTGGACCTAGAACTCTGTCCTGGTCACCCCCACATCTAATCCTCAGCCAGAACCAGCCTTGATCACCCCAAGTTTACCTCCCACCCAGATCTCTCAGCTCACCACCCAGAAAAGTGGAATTTCCAGCTGACATCTCAGCACCATTCATCAGCCCTCCTGCCCCCACTCCAAGATCTACCTGGTCCCTGATGCTGGGTGCCCAGATCAACACCGACCCTCTCCCCCACCAGCAAACTGCACCGCCTTGAGTACCTGGACCTGTCCCACAACCAGCTGGCTGCAGTGCCTGCTGGCCTGCCCCGCACTCTGGCTGTGCTGCACCTGGGCCGGAACCGCATCCAGCAGGTGGAGGAGGCCCGGCTGCGTGGAGCAAGGGGACTGCGCTACCTGCTGCTTCAGCACAACTGGCTGGGGGCAGGCGGGCTGCCTGCAGGGGCGCTGCGCCCTCTGCGGGGCCTGCACACGCTGCATGTCTACGGAAATAGACTGGAGCGTGTGCCCCTGGCACTGCCCCGCCGCCTGCGGTCCCTGGTGCTGCCCCACAATCGCGTGGCCGCACTGGGAGCCCGCGACCTGGCCGCCACGCCTGGCCTGGCAGAGCTCAACCTGGCCTACAACCACCTAGCCAGTGCCCGCGTGCACCGCCGGGCCTTCCGCCCGCTGCGTGCCCTCCGCAGCCTTGACCTTGCTGGCAACCAGTTGACTCGGGTGCCCACCGGTCTGCCCGCTGGCCTGCACACCCTGTGGCTGCAGCGCAACCAGCTGCGGACCCTAGAGCCCGAGCCGCTGGCTGGTCTACACCAGCTGCGGGAGCTCAGCCTGGCGCACAACCGACTCCGAGTGGGTGACATCGAGCCCGGCACCTGGCATGAGCTACAGGCCCTGCAGGTCAGGGGTGGGCTGGTTAGCCATGCTGACTGTCCCCATGGCCCCTCCACCTCCTGCCTCACCAGCCCCTCCTCCACAGGATCCTTGGGTCATAGTACAAAAAGAGCTTGTCTGCTGAGGAATGCTAACCTTGGTGTGGCTAACGCAGGCCCAGCCTCCAGGTCTTTAGCCGAGCTGTCCCTGCCGCCTGGTCCTCTGAGACACTCCCTCCACCTCCCCTGTAAACACTGGCCTCTAGCTCCTGACCACTACTGACTCGAGAGTTGAAAGCTTCTGTGGGTGTCAGGCACTGTTCCAGGCATTGGAAATGCCAATGGGCACAGCAACACGACCCCTGGCCCCGGGCACAGACACCCTGGTTAGGGAGACAGCAATTGGTAACAATCATAAGTAAACGACAAGTGCTAGAAGGGCGTGAGGAAGTGCATTAGGTGCCATCCCCGTGAATGACTGGTTGAATTGATGTCTCCCACAGTAGGTGGGGACCTGTCTGTGCCTCGAGCACCTATAGCAGGGGCGGCCTCAGAAAGGACTCAGTTCACCTCCATCAAGGGGAGAAATCCAGCAGAGCCACGAAGAGGGTCCAGGGGAAGGGGCGGAGGGACTGGACTGGGCATGGAGGGGAGGAGGGCTTGGGAAGAGGAGGTCTGGGGCTTAACTGAGCAGTGAGCCCAGGGCCTGGAGCCACCACTGGGCCGCCTCTGCCCCCACCCAGATGCTGGACCTCAGCTACAACGAGCTGTCCTTCGTGCCTCCCGACCTGCCTGAGGCCCTCGAGGAGCTGCACCTGCAGAACAACCGCATCAGCTCCGTGGGCCCTGAAGCCTTCCTCAGCACGCCGAGCCTGCGCGCCCTCTTCCTCAGGTGCCCTCGGGTAGCTGGGCAGGTCCAGATGGGCAGGGGAGGGCCACAGTGGGTTGTGGGGGGCCCTGGGAGTCTCAGGGGGAGTCAGGAAGGTTGTGGCCCCCTCCGTTTGCACATGCCCTCATGCCTGCCTCTTGGTCCAGGGCCAATAGGCTTCACATGACCAGCATTGCTCCTGAGGCCCTCCTGGGCCTCCCACACCTTCGCGTGGTGGACACGACGGGTAACCCTGAGCAAGTCCTGATCCAGCTGCCACCTACAGCACCACACCGGCCACGGGCAGGGGGCCCCTGACCTGAGGGGCCTGTCAGAACGGTCCGGCCTCTGGGGTTCCACCGGGCCGTGGACTCAGGAGGCAGTGCCCACCTGGGGCCTCAACCTGTCTCTCCCAGGCCTTGAGGGCTAAGCCTGCCTGACCCATGCTGGCCAGGAAGCTGAAGCTCCTCACACACAGGGAGGGACTGAAGCATGCAGCTCACACGCCGGGTGCACAGACCGTGCCGGCCCCACTGGCCAAGTTCCTACTTCCCGCCCAGATGGAGACAGCACCAATAAAGCCTAATTCTTTCGAGTGCTCACCACCAATCAGGTACCCTTCACTCTGTGGGACAGAAGGGCTCTTGCCATCCTTACATCCAGTTGGGGAAACAGAGGCTGTAGGAGGCTAAGTCCAGGTCCTGTGGCTAGTGAGTGGCAGGGCTGGATTTCGAGATCCTGAGACACACATGGGTCACCAAGCACCGTCACATGTGGCCCGACCACACCTGTAAACCCAGATATCCCTAAAGCCACCAGGCATATCTGGGTTTACATGTGAAGATGAAATGCACAGTGGGGTGGACGCCCTCAGGCAGGTCACAGACCCTTTGACTGCTGCACAGCCTTTACGGACACTCCCCGTCCCCGCCAGCTTCGTACAGGCACCTCCCCTTCCTAAGCCCAGGGGAGGGTGTGTGTGTTGGCAGGAGAGACCCAGCCCAGCCCTGCCAAGGAGGGCGAGAAACAAAAGGCAAGAAGGAGAGCAGGGTGTGGCCCTGGCTGTTTATTCCGTGTGTCAGCCCTGGGGCCTAGCTGGCCCAGGGCACCCCCCTGGGGAGCCAGCCAGCTTCTGGCTGGCCTCAGAGGCTTCTTTGGGGTGTGGGTGGGCTTAGGGTTAAGGCCAGGGAGGGACAGGAAGTAAAGTGCTTGCAGGGGCTCTTAGGGCTTGGTCCTGCACTCTCCCACCTCTGGAACAGGACAGGGGCACAGGCTGGCTGGCGGGCACCATCCCCGATGCCCCCTGCCAGGGCTGGGTGGGCCCAGCAGGGGACGAGTCCATCCAGAGCTGATTGTCCGCTGATTGTCCGCTTGTCTGGTCTGAGGCCGTGGCAGTGTCAGCTCTCCCAGCACCGGGGCCTTGAGCCTGCGCCCCCATTTCCAGGGGCTGCCAGCGCCGTCGGCCCCTCACCTACGGAGCCGCTGTAGCTGCAGGAGAGAACGCTGGGGTGAGTGGGGGCCACGGTCACAGCTGCACGCCCCCCACCCCAATGCCTGAGCCGCTCACCTCATTCTCGACCAGGTTCCGCCTGTAGAGTGCCTCCTTGGCGGGTTCCTGGGGACCCAATGGGAGGTCAGAGGAAGCCCCTGGCAGCCCAGCCCCTAGTGCCCACCTAAACCCCATCCAGCTCACCCTGCTGCCTTCATTGCCAAGGCGCCGGGCAGCCTCTGTGTAGAATTGCAGCTGACGTTCCAGATGGGCCATGTATTCTGAAGGTGGCAGAGGGTCAAATTGGGGCCACTGCCACTGCCCCTCCCCCATGTGCCTGTCCCGAGCCCCTACCCCGCCGGATGCCTGGGCCCCCCTGCTCCAGCTGTGCCCTCTGCCACTGGCTGCGATACATGATATCCTGGTACTGCTGGGCCACCTCTGGGGGCACTGGCCGCCGTGCCTGCCTGAAGGCCAGGATCTGGTGGGTACAGAGAGGACTGTGAGGGCCCTGCCTGAGCCTGCAAGGCCCCCCAGTCCTGCCCCACCAAGCCCACTGGGTGGGAACCCACCTTCCGCTCCAGACGCTCTTGGTCAAAGGCCAGCACGCTGAGACTATGCAGGGGCCGGGCAGATCTGCGGGGTGGGTATAGGGATGAGTCTGCGAGGATCCCAATCCTTGATCCCATTAATTTGATGACATGCTGGGCACTGGGGAACAGCCAGAGACAGGCCAGGCCCAGCACAGTGTTGCTAAGCCCACAGCCTAGTGCTGATGATGTACATCTAAGCAACTGCGATGCCAGGCAGTCAAGGAGGGCTTCCTAGAGGAGATGACAGCCAATTTGGGACCCATAGGAGACAGTTGGGAAGAGGAGTGGGGAACAAGTGTGTGGGCAGAAGTACTCAGGGCATTGTAACACAGAAGCCGAGAGGACAGTAAAAGCTAGCTGTGGCCATGAACCAGGAGGAGTGAGGAGAGAGAAGGTTGGATATGCTGACAACGGTCAGATCAAAAAAGGTCTTAAAGACTAAGCTGAAGAGTTTATACTGAATCCTCCAGAAGAAGGGGAGCCAGGGAGAGACATGCTCCAATTTGTGCCTGATGAGATATTGTCCACGAAGGGCTGAGATGAGAAGAGGCCCGGCCCAGCCACCTACCTGTTTGCTGGCTCCCTCGTAGGGGCAGGAATGGGAGGGGCCTTCCCTTTGGGCCCAGCAACCTGCTTCAGAGGACAAAACCAGCCTTCTGAGTCTTGACTCCCTTGAACCAAGCCCCCCTCCCTAGGGTTACTGCTGGGTGGGGTCTCACTGGGGGCACAGCTGCTGGCACGGGATCGACGACCAGCCACCTCTCAGTTATTGTCTCCAATTGCTGGGCCGTCAGTGGCTCTCGAATCCGGACCATCACCTCCAGCCGTCCTCCTGTGGGCCGGCGACCATCCAGGACCTGGGTGGGAATAAGGAGGGGCTACTGGGAAACACACAGCGGTTGGAGTCCCATGGCTAGGATCAGGGACAACCAACGTGATTTACTCAACATGATCCCATGAGTATGACTGAGATGCCAACTGGTCATCATGGAACAGGGTGCTGGGGGTATCTATGGCCAGATGTAAGGTGGTCTTGGACTTCCAGGGCAGAGGCTGGGTCAGCAGAGAGGACCCTTGGGAGGTTCAGGGCAGGGAGCACTTAAGTGATATTAATGAGAGACATGGCCTTACTGGAACATTCAAATTAATGTCCACCTCTTACCTCAAGGATCTCCCGGACCTCACATGCTGTCTCCAGGGCATCCAGCTTCAGCTGGGCTGTACCCAGGACCCGGTCGGTCTTGAACAGCCCACTGTGTATGTGAGGTGGCACAGGATGGTTGGCCCAGGGCAGCTTCCCCTTCCCCAGAGCCCATGCAGTGCCTGGCCCCCCAGCTCACCCTTTATGGACCACTTCGAACTTGATGCCTTTGGTCTGTATTGCCCTTCGAAAGCCTCGGTGGCTGCGGTTGATGCAGAGTTTGAACTGCTCCTTGAACTCTGCCCAGGGAGGAGAGAGGAGTCAGACTCACGTTCTTGCTGCAGGGGGCGGGACTACCTGTTGTGCTACCACTGTGTCTCACCAGGAGAGTCTGTGTTCTTGATCACACTGGTCTTGTCTTTCTGAGCTTCTTCCTGGGACCGGGCAGGAGGCAGGAAGGCTCAGGGGCTGGGGCCTGGCCCGGGACCCCAGTCTGACCCACTACCCATCCCGAGAGGGCTTAAACCCATCCCTCCTTGGCTCTCCACATACCACGTTGGGATAGGGGAAATCGAACCGAACGAAGACATCCAGATCGCCAGGGGAGAGCCCTGTGGGCAAACAAGGGTCACAGCTGGGCAGAGAGGTGGTCCCCACGGCCCTGACCCCTGCTCGGTGCTCCCTCACCTGGAGGCGTGGGCAAGTTGATGCCCTTCACAACGAACAGGAGCATGTCATTGCTGCTGAGGTCCGGGAAGATCCTTCCGGGAGGGCAGGTGGGGAGACAGAGGCACCTCAGCCCCACTGCCTGCCCTTCTTTTCCTTTGGTGGGGGCAGGGAACAAACCCCACACTGGCCTTTGGGGGTGTCTCAGCTCCTGGGCTCCAGTTTTAAAATTAGACAAACTCGAGTTCTCTGTCCGGTTCTGCCGATGACTGACTTTTGGGTCCTTTCTTTAGTTTGCACATATTTATTTAGTACCTACTTTGCATCAGCCAGTGGCCTTGCTCCTGTGGGACCTTCCCTTCAATTAACAGTATTTCTGGAGCCTCCTAATATGTGCCAGCCAATGCCTTAGCTATTACGGGGCCTTCTCTCACTTGACATTACCTGAGTACCTACTACGTGCCAGCCTGATGCCTCGTGGCTAGGGAAACTTTCTTTCACTTAGCAATATTTCTGGAGCCCCTACTGTGTGCCAGCCTGTGTCTTCATTGCTGTGGTTACAGAAGTAAATGACAGAGACCTGTCTCTGTGCTCATGGAGCCTGAGCTGGCTGAGTGGAAAGATGACCAATGAATATATAAAGCAACAAGGCAACACTGCAAAGAATTAAAATAGGAGAAAGGCTGAAGTGTGCTCAGGACGGGCTGCTTTAGACAGGGTGGCCAGGGAAGGCCGACATCATCAATGGCGCTGGCTGTCAATTGGGGGTGCGACACGGAGACCTTGGGAAGAGGGTCTGGGCAGGGTAAACCACAGGGGTGATGGCCCTGGGTGGGACAGCCCTGGGCGGGAACATGCTTGGTGTGTTTGAGGGACCTAAAAGAGGTCTGTGTGGCAGGAGATGAGCAAACGGGCCAACAGGTAGAGAGGAGATGATGGGGAGCCAGAGATGCAGATATGGCAAAGCCGGGGTAAATGGGGTGGGTTTTCCTAGCTGGTTATCCTAGGTTTCCACAGTGGCTGCACCTAACCTCACCTGTAAGTGAGAAAAATGATCCCAACTATCCAGGGTGTGGGAACACTTCACTGGAGCAGGACCAACAACCGCCACCCTGAGGGCTCACTTCTGCACTTACTACATCTTCCCCGTTTCCAAGTGTGGCCCTGCCAACACCCCCTCACCTGCCATCCCTCACTTGCACCTCATGCCTGCCTCAGGACCCTTATGTGTGCTATGCTTCCACCACCCGCCAGCTTCTGGGGAAGGAGAACCCCTTCTCAAAGGGACATGTGAACCAGGGGCCATTGGGGGCCTTACTTGATGACGCTGAAGGTTCTCTGTTCAAAGCGGGCACTAGGAGTGGGGAGACCCCGGGCAAAGGCCTGCTTCAGGGTCTCCATGCTCCGCTTACAGTCCTCTGCCAGTTTCTCAAATCTGCAACAAGAGGGCCCTGCTCAGGTCCCTGGTCCCAGAGGGAAGCAGGGGGCGCACACCCAGGTAGAGGTGGGTGTAGGGGTACTTACTTGCTTGTTTCTGCAATGTTGCCCAGGTGGGTGAACTGGTTAGAGTGATTCAGGCACATCTGGTGAGGCAGAACACAGTGAAAGCAGTGTTGAAGGACCATGACCCTGGGGGAGGCCTGCTGGCCCAGGCTGGGATCCCCTCACCTCATGCTGCTGCCTTAGGAGCTTGGTGAGTTCACCATAGCGCCGGGCTGACTCCTGAGACAGACCAGGGCCAGGCCGCTGGACCAAGGCAAAGTCATCCTTGTTGACAGGGGCAGGCGGCACCTGGAAGATAAGGCTCATGGGGAGAGGCCTGCTGGTCAGTAAAGAGCAGGCCTGCCTAACCCCTCCTTGGAGAGGCCTTTCCTGACCACTGCTTTGTCCCCACCCCTGCTCTTTCTTCTTCCCCAAAGAGAAGAGTGACGCTTAGAGAGCGGTAGATGGTTCTAACCAGTGGCAGAACCTGGTAACTGTTTATCCCAAATCTGATCCACGTCCTCTTTCCTAGTAATGGAGATCTGGCTGGGAACATGGCAGCCCCACAAGAAAATGTTCCAGCCTCCCTTGCAGCTAGGTGCAGCCATGTGACTCAGTTCTGGCCAATGGGAGGTGAGCAGGAGTGATGGCAACTGCATGTCACTGTCTTTAGAGGAAACTACTTGGCCTGCAATTTTTCTTCCTCATTGCTTTGCACGGACTGGATACAGACAGATTAGTGGTCCACTTGGACAAGGATGACCTCCTCCGATATGACAGGACAACAAAATGGAAAGAACCTGGGCTCTGGAGGTTCTTTATAAGAGCCCAAAGCACCCTGAGTGTTACATGCAAAAAGCATAGACATCTTTCTTGTATAACCACTCTCAGAAGAGATCTATTTGTTACAGCAGCTTAGCCTCCACCCTGACTAATATATTCCAAGTCACGTGGCTGTGAAGTGGCCAGAGCCCAACAGGCAAGCACCTGGGAAGGTCTAGCAAGCTTAGAGGTTTCACCTTGGTAATATCCACAGGCAGCCCATTGCGTGAGGCCTCCAGCATGGGATCCAGCCCCTTGGCCTGGCGCAAGTGCATCTTGGCACCCTCCACATCGTTCTTCTGCTTAGCTCGCAACGCGGCCTGCAAGAGCTGCTTCTTCCGGCTCTCCAGGAAGGCCAGCTGCTGCTGGGCTGTGGGCACAGGGGGATCTGCAGGTGCTGCCCAGCCCATGGCCAGGTGATGGGCATCCAAGGTGAACAGGAAGCACCTACCTCTGGTGGATGTACCTTTGGGGGCTGCTTTGGTTGCTGAAGTGGATCCTGGCTGGGGTGCCTTTGAGGGTGGGGCCTTGGGCTGGGCTGTGGGGGCTGCAGGGCTGTTGAGCTGCTGAAGGATGGAGAAGATGTCAGAGCTTTCCCAGCACCTACAATAAGGTCATTCCTCAAATGGTCAGGGCCTGACACAACAGTGACCAGCCTAGTTTCTGTTTCCTCAGCACTAAATACAACATACAGTCCTTTCCTGTTGAATCTTTGCAGCAGCTCTGAGAGGTAGGGGCTACAGCTATGCCCGCTTTATAGATGAAAAGACTGAGGCTCAGAGAATAAAATGACTTGCCCATGGCCACATGGTCAGGAGGTGGCAAGGCCAGGACAGGAGGCCAGGTCTTTCTGGCTCAAGGCTTGAACTGTCAGAGTTTACTTTGTTGTCACTCCCTGCCTCACCCCAAAGGGCCCTGCCCCTCACACCTTCTTAGGCTCCTCATCCTCTTCATCCTCTGGGCCTTCATCCTGGTTGGCCAGCTTCATGGCGGTCTCCAGGACCCCCACCAGGCTCGGCTGGGTGGACTCGGAGGCCTCTAGGCCCTGGATAGGGGGAAAGCCTGGGCGGCCAGTTGGGATCGGGTCAGGAGGGAGACACCTGTGCCACGATGGTGGAGAGATGGGTTCCTCCCCCTTCCAAGGACTTAGGCCTTTGAAGTCACTTTAAATGTAGGAAGGAGCTGCTGATGGTTTGGTATAGACACCAGACCATGACAACCTCCCTCCTGTCTCTTGCCTCCTCTTGCCTGACCCTGGGCCTTGACTAGACTCCAATAAGGAAGCACTATGAGGTGCTGTGCCGAGTACAAGGGGTGGGCCCGGCCCTGGGGGCATCCTGGGGGACCAAAAAGCAGAAATCATTGCTCTCAGTGGGGATGCACAGGAAGCTCTGAGAACCCAGAGGAGGCCTCAGACCCACTGGGGTGGCTAATGGGAGGCTGAGTAGGTATCCGTAAAGTTAAAGAACTGATGACTAGGAAGGAATGAGTCAAACAAAGAAGAGGAAAGATCAGTCAGCAGTGGGTTGGCCAACAGGCTCCTCAAATAAACCCCCCTGATTTTTAGTGTTTGCCAGTTTTCATGGTGTAAACACTCTCCTCATACTGATATTATGGTACTGACTGTCTAACAAGCTTGCAGAATTCCTGAATGTGTAGCAATCGACTCCCAAAGCCTGTACAATCAGAAGGGACAGCACCAGCAAAGGCTCAGAGGCTGGAGGGGGAGGGGCGGGGGCAGGGCCTACCTGGGGGCACAGGCAGCTCAGCCACGTCCACAGCTCGGCCAGCCTTGTGGGCCCGAATGGCATCTTGGTATTGCTGTGGGGGACAGAGGTGTTAGGACTCCCTGGGCACAGTCTCCAGGGGCTGCCCGCCCACCACTCGGCGTCCATGCACCTTGACAATGCGCTCATGCATGCGAGCCTTCCGCTGGTCCCCCTTGGTCTTAGCCTGGGCTGCGGCCACGTGGTAGCGCTCCATCCTCTGCTCCAATGCCTCCAAGAGAGTCCTTGGGGGTGGGGGAACCTCTGGGCCTGATGGGGTTGGGGCAGGGTTAAGACTCTTGGACAGGGAGACTGCCTTGCCCTGGTCTGTCTGCCCAAAGTCCCAGGAGCCTACCTGGTGTGGATGGCACCGTAGTGGGAGTCAGAGGCTGCAGTGGTGGTGATGGCGGGTCTGGGGGCAGCTGGTCTGCGGGCAGAGAAGTCCAGTGCTATGAGGGGCTTGCTTGTGGCCACTCCACCCCCACGCTGGTGTGGCCCAATTAGGTCTCAGGTCTGACCAGAGGAGGCAGCGATATCAGGAAGAGGTCAGTGGGGCCCTCCAATAGTCCTGGAGGGTGGGCAGACAGGGTACTCACCAGGGGGAGGGGGCAAGCGGGATAGGTCGACAGGCTCCCCCCGGCTCAGGGCCTCCAAAACAGCGTCAAAGCTCTGTGAGAAGGAAGGGGATCAGGAGAGGCTACGGCTGGATGTGACAGTGGTCTGCCCCTTCCTTTGCCCAGTCTTACTCAAGCCTCTTCTCACACTTAGGCCCATTTCACAGAAAGGGGAAACTAAGGTTTCAAGAGGTGCAGTAAATAACACCTAGAGAGTAACCAAGCTGGGATTTCAGTTTAGGCATATCTGACTCCAAGCCCATGATCTTTGCCGCCATGCAAGGCTGGAAGCACCCTATTCTTTCCACCCGACCCTGTCCGTCAGTTTGGACGCACCTTGGCCACACGGAAGAGCCTGGCGGCGGCGGCAGTATCCCCCTGCTGCTTGGCATGGAGGGCAGCCAGCTTGTACTCGCGCTGGCGGCTCTGCAACTGAGCCAGGGGGCCAGTGCTGCAGGGACCTGGAAGGAGAGCAGCGTACAGACCGTTTCTACTCTCACAGTGAAGACTGTTCTTAGGCGAGTTGCACGGATGTGAGAACGCAGGCTCGGCAGCGGGGGGAGGGGGGCGCTGTCTCTGCAGCCCACAGCCTGGAGGGCGCACGGCAGGCACGCAGCTCAGGCCCGGCAAGCTCCACAGCCACTGCTGCTTTGCTCCCCAGAAAATTGTGGAAAATTTTACGTGCCCTTGTGCATTTTTGAGTTGGCATCTAAAATGTTTCATGTTAAGTTTCAAGAGTGGCCAGTGTTGTCATTCCCAATATCTTGCAAATATTGACATTTGAAAAAGAAAACCATCGCACCACTCTTTTAAAACTAATGTATTTTAACTACCATGAGGATTTGGAACTCATCAATATTCATTTAAAAAAAAAATGGCAAAACCCCTATAAGGCCAAATCCACCATCTTAGCCATTCTGAGGTATGCAGTTCAGTGGCATTAGGCACACCCGTTAGTTGTGCAGTCGCCACCGTCCATCCACAGAGCAGAACACTTTCATCTTTGCAACTGGAACCCTGTCCCCATTAAACACTAACTCCCCATCACCTCCCCCAGCCCCTGGCACCCACCATTCTTTCTGTCTCTATGAATTTGACTCCTCTAGGGATCGCACATAAGTAGAATTGGACAGTATTTCTTCTTTTTGACTGGCTTATTTCATCTACTGTAACATTCAATGGGTTCACCCATACTATAGCATGTGTCAGGATGTCCTTCCTTTTTAAGGCTGCATAATATTTCATTATAAAGATATACTATTTTGTTTACCCATTCATCCATCACTAGACACTTGGGTTGCTTCTACATTGGTCATGCTTCTATGAACATGGGTGTGTAAATATCTCTTCATGTCCCTGCTTTCAATTCTTTTGAGAATATACCAACATCTACTTATAAAATATCTCCCAGGGGTCACTTTTGCAGTTGGGAATTTCACATCTTCCCTTCTTTCTATCCATGTCCCCCACGGAATTATATCCTAACATGATCCATATGGGTACTTGAAAGCCTTTTTTTGACCACCCTCTCTTACATTTGTAACCAAAATACATTTATGTGGTGTGTTGGTAAAGTTGGGAAACAGAGGATTAAACTACTTTTTAAATAGTAATTTAGTTTCAAATATGCTCAAGACATTTTCAGAGGAAGTACGTGTGTCTCTAAATTGAAAGCAACAGGTACAATTGCTGGTATGAAAGACACAGCACAACAGATACACCGTCCAGTGACCACAAAACCTAGAAACACCTGGGAAACATCCTGCGTTGTACTTTTTCAGATGGACAACTGGACCCACTGTTTTAGGTTCAGGGGCACTCACCTGAGATGGTATCTATAGGCTGAAACTAAACTCCTTGATATTTGATTGAATTATTATCACAAGTCTCTCCCTGTGTTAAAATTTTTTCCTTTTGGGATTGAACAACTGTTACAATTACACTTAGCACATAACTGGATATAATGTAAATACTCCAAACTTTCTGATAAATACCTCTTACAAACCAAGAGTAAAATTTTATTGGCGAGGTACCTCTTGCTGTCACACTAAAGGCTGGGTCCACCTCCTAACAGTCCCTGATTCCCATTCATTCCTTTTCTACTTCCTTTTTTCCTTTAAAGTGCTTCACACCAACAAATAGATGGGAAAAGAGGGAGTCTTGTCATTGCGACGTCACATGAGTCTCTGAACTCCTGCTGAGCTGTATGCCAAAAAAGCAATCGTGAAAATTTGGGCTGGTTTTAGCCAAGAATTTCAGGTGACAATTTCCAAAGGTCCTCCTTGTACTTTGCCAAAAACCATGGCTTAGAGACCAGCCTGGCCTCAGAAGGATTTAGAGACCCAGTGTCCACGTTCTCAACGCCAGGCCAGCCTTTTATATTTCATTGGTTCCTGCCTGTCCCTGGAGCAGAGCCCCGAGTTCAGATTCTAGAAGGGAGTGGGTGGGCACTCCTTTCCTGAAGTGGGGGGAGGGCGACCCAAGAGGGGAAGGTTGGGAAGGAAAACCTCTAGGTAGGTGTGTCTTCCAGCCAGGTGAGTTTTAGAAGAAAGGACATGTAAGCTGAGCCCTTGAGAATTTTTCATTTAAAACTCTGAATGGGGGAATGTTACTCAACTTTAAAAAAGAATCAAGTGCTGACACGGGCTGCAATGTTATCCTAAGTGAAGGAAGCCAGACAGAGGACAGATAGTGTATTGTTCCATTTACATGAAGTATCTAGAAGAGGGAAATTCATAGAGACAGAAAGGAGAATAGAGGCTATTGGGAGCTTGGAGAGGGAGATGGGGAGTTAGTGTTTAATGGGGACAGACTTTCTGTTTGGGGTGAAGTTTGGGAAATAGAGGTGATGGTTGCACAACATTGTGAATGAACTAAATGCTACTCAATTGTACACTGAAAAATGGTTAAAATAGCACATGTTATATATATTTTACCCATCACAAAAACAAAAAGGTATCAACAAACTCCAGGGGCATGTGCACCTGGGAAAGGAGTATTTAAAATATCTCACAATCAGTACAGGGCTTTCACCCTCAGAGGAGCCAACCATTGAATATAGCCTCTGACATCCCATGTCAACAACCCTGTACTTGGCCTACCTGGGGGCAGCTGGGGTTTAGCCAGGCCCAGTGACGAAGCTGGGGCAGTGGGAGGAGGACCCTCTACTGTGACTCTGGGTTCTGGGGCTGGCGGGTTCACAGAAGCTGGCAGGGTGGGTGCAGGAGCGTGGCTGGATGTGGCCATTGGGCCCTTCCCCACAGCAACTGGTGGTGGGATGTCCTCTTCGTCGATGGCATTGCCCTTCCGGACGGAGGTCAACAGGTTTTCCAGTGTCTGGAGAAGGTGTAAATGTGGGTTTTGGCAGAGCCTGGAGCTAGGCACAGGGGCGGTGGTGGGGTCCCGGCACTTTCCTGTTTGCCCACTCACCTTAAGTCCCCGGTCGTAGCGCCGCATCTTGGCGCTGTCTCCAGCTTGCCTAGCACTTTCGACTGCTGTCTGGTAGAGGGCCAGCCTCTCCTGCAAGGTGGCCTCCAACCCTGGGCTGGGGGCTGTGGCTTTCGGCTGTGGGAGGGGCCAGGGGCATGGCATGGGTGAGTGATGACCGAACTCAGCCCACCCTGCAGGTATCCTTGGTTGAGCGCTTACTGCATACCTGGCATGTCACCCCTGGGCCAGTTGCCCTCATCTTGGAGGGGCAGAAATTATCCCCTTCCTTGGTACAGAGAACTTGGGCTCAGAGGTGTCCCATCACCTCCCTGAGGTTGCATGGCTAAGAGGTTCAAGGGACGGTCTTGAACCCTGAGCTATAGGGAACGGGGTTGTCAGACATACCTGGGCCACAGGAGGGTGGGACTCCAAAGTCTTCTGCTCCTCCCCAAGGACCTCATTTAGTTCTGCCTGCAGGGACACAAGGCCGGGGGACTGCATGAGGGCCCGACAGACGGAGCAACAATGGGAAGAGAGCCCCCTGCCCCGCCTGGACACTCACAAGCAGGTCATTATCAGCCTCCACATCCTCATCGTCTGTGCCCTCCTCCTCATCCGGGTCTCTCATGCACAAGCTGGCCATCTTCTCAATGGCCTCCATGGGCAGGGGACCTGGCAGCAGGGGGAGGTACCAGCTGGACTGGGATCCTTCAAGAGTCCCCAGCTTCCCATCCTGATCATCCATGGTCCCGAAGAATATGGTAGCAGACAACGGGGTGGCATGTTTCTCTCCTGGCACTTCCATGGCACCCCACTGCCCTCGGGCCAGCAGGCATGATCCCGCTTCCCAGCTGACCTCACCGGCCTTATCCCTTCCTTAAAAAGCCTGAGTTCAAACTCTGGCCCTGGAACTTCTTCACTGTGGGATGCTGGGCAAGCTGGGTGACTCAAACTTTTTGTGGCTCTGTGCACATCCAAGAACGACTACAAAAGAGCTGCATGTATTGATTTGGGGTTACAAATGAATTTCAGTCACTAGGTGAATGCACAGATACAAAATTTGTGATATGAGGATCACTGTATTAGCTAAAAAGTGTAAAAGCTATATTTGCCCTCTGGGCTCCAGCCCCACGTGACCACTTTGGAATCCTCTGCCCACTCCCATCTCTCCCAGAGCTTTTGCATGTGTTGTGACCCTTCCCAGAAGTGTTCCCCAACTCTTCATGTGGTTCCATCCTTCATGGGTGCCTCCTCCATGAATCCCTTCCCAGGTCATAGGTCTCCCCCATTGATCTGTGCCTCCTCCACGCCAGCCCGTATCAGTGGGCTGGACGATTCACGAGGTCCTGTGTGAAGTGCTTTAAGAACACTAGACGATTAATTCTGGTGATGTAAGTGTGGCTTATTCCCATTTTACAGACGGGGAAACTGAGGCCCACACAGATGGTAGGACTCATTAAGTTATAGCCAATAAATGGCAGAGTTGGGATTCGAACAATCACTCTGAATTAAGAGTTAATCTCTTAACCTTTAACCCAGACAGTGGGTTTCAGGAGGGCAGGGACCTGCTCTATCTCCTTTCCCATCTTCCTAGCACCCAGCTCTGAGCCTGGCCCACAGTGGGAGCTCAGGAAATGTCCCAGGGGTGCGCTGAGGGTCTCACCTTTGCCTTTGAGCTTCTCCAGGGCTTGGGGTGGGCCCCCAACCAAAGCCAAGAACTCAGCCTCCAGTTCCTCATTGTTAACTCCATCCTCAGGGATCATCAGACCATCTGGGGAGAGATCAACCAGCAGGCCCAGCTGCGGGAACAACAAGAGTTCAGTCAGATGTTGGGATGCTCCTCACCTAGCCAGAGGCAGCCACGATGGACTCAGAGTCCCCTTGGGAGGAAGAGAGCCCAGGCAGGCCTCTTGGTAAAGTCATTTCCCTGGGGAGTGCCAGAAGTCTGGAACAGGCCCAGGATGCAACAGGTGTCCCAAGACGGGCCAGGCCCTTTGGCATAGATCAACGTGAGGCAAAGGACAGGCAGAGAGACCCAGCTTCCTGCTCTGAGTCCATTCCCACGATGTGCTGCTAGCAGAGAACGGTGGGGAAAGCAGACCCCACACCCTGCCCAAAGCACAGCCACTCTGCACACCTGGGCATTTCCTTCCAGCATCCTTAGCAAAGGGGGATATGCAGGAAGGTTGGAGGTGTCAAAAGTAAGTAGAAGCCCTGACAGTAACATGATGTTGAAAGTGGAGTCTTTGCTGTGTAACAGATCCGTCTTCCTATCCATTCTATCCTGGTTAATGACCCATCATGACGTGATAATATTTGGTTGAACTATACAAAATTGCCCTTTCTGTGGATCAAAAATGGCCCCATATTGGCAATTACGTATGGTTCCTTCTAACAGTAATAACAATGATAGTAACACTTACTGAGTGCTATGTTCTAGCACTACCCACAAACTATCCCGATGAATTTTCATAACTGTCCTATGACATAGGAACTCCTAGGGCCTCCATTTTACAGATGAGGAAACTGAGTCTGAGAGCTGTGAGGCCAAGCATCCAATGTGCAGAGGCCAAAAGGGACCTTCAGGTTGGCCAGACTCTAACACCTGGCACTAAGCAATGACCTGGGCTCCTTCCATCAAAGCTGAGAAAAACTACTCTTCTGGTGCCTGGGATAGAAGAGATGGGAGAAGGGGAGAAGGGACCCAGCTCCAGCCCCGTGGACTGACTAATGGGAGCAGTTCTGGATTTGTCCCTACCTCTGGCCAAGGTGTTAATTCTCATGACCACAGGCAGGTGTCTTCACCTTTCTGGGCCCCGGTGTCCTCATCTTTACAATGGGAGTAAAAAGAGTCTGACCTGGCCTGGCTGAGGCGAGGGTTCAAAGCGAGCTCAGGCGAGGGGAGCAGTAACTGTCCTTAACCCAGGTCTAGGCCTTCCCCCCACCGACTGGAGCTACTGCAGCAACAGGTGGCCCTGAGCCTAGGGCGGGGCGCCAGAAGCTGGGGAGCCAAGTAGAGTAGGCCGCATTTTCCGGGTCAAACCTCACTTGGGGGGCGGGGACAGGGGCTCACCTGGGGGTGGAGATTGGGTTCCCCTGAGGGGTAGGAGGGGTTGCCTTGGTGGGGCCGCGGGGCACAGACTCACCTGGCGGGCGGCGGCGGCGCCTCGGCCCGGGGGTCCCGGGGTTCCCTTCCTCTTGTGCATCTTTCAGGCTAGATGCTCCGACCACGGCCCCCTCGCCTGGCCTTGCCCTGCCTCCTCCCCCGGGGCCTATCGTCGCGTACGCGCTCTTCCTGAGCCCCGCGCCCCTCGTCGGCGCCCCGCGACCGCAGACCCAGCGTCCTCGGTCTCCGGGGTGGCCGCCCTACTTCCGCCTCGTCCCTTGGGCGTCGCGGCACCGGAGAGCAGCCTCTCGACTTGCCGTGCCCACCAAACTGAAACTACAACTCCCGGCAGGCATTGCGCAAGTGCACATGCGCGCCTCCGTACGGTGGGCGGTGCCGGCAAGAGGTGGAACGTACGCGGGTGTGAGCGGCAAAGCTGGCGTCGCGCCTGCGCGCGGCTGGGACTCGCGAAGCGCGGGAAAGAAGCAGAGCGAGCGCATAAGTGAGGGGCGGCAGTGGGCACCAGGCTTACAGCGTCCGGCGTGGTGGTCCAGGTCTGGGCAGTCCTCAAGTTTCGGTGGTCGTGGTTGGATCAGTGTGGGCCTAGTTACCGGAAGCCAGTCCGCAATCCTCGAGCCTCAAGGCCTCCTGGCCTTTCAGCTCCAGACCCTGGAGCTGCCCGGCCTCCGGTAGGGGTCAACTTACCTTTCATTTCCTCCAAAATATTTTACGCAAATAATTTAACGCAGTTGTCCCCCAACAACTCCAGGCAGACCTACCTACTTCCTGATAAAGACAGAGGGTCCTCAACAACCTTTCTGGCTCAGGTCAGTTTGGGCTTGTTCGGCCCCCAAAGCTGGAAGAAATTGCCTTGTGGTAACTCCTGTCCCTTCAAGGCCCCAGGCGCCCCTAGTAAAGCTCCCACCCCTTGAAGCGCCCCACCTGGCCCCTCTAAAGTCACCAGGTTATTCTGAAGGGCCTCCAGCGTGCCCTCGAGTCCTCGGTTGTCTCTAGAAGGTTCCCAGAGCCCCCAGCCTAGAGGGAGGGCCTTTGCACAGGCTGCCCCAACTTAGGGGCAGAGTCCCCAAGACTTTCCACTGAGGACACCCCCTTTCCCACTCCCACCCATGTGCTCTCAGACCCTGGGCAGAAGATGGGCAATTCCCTCTCTGTCCTCTGCAACATGGAGGAGGCTTGAGTTCTTACCCAGCCAGTGGCCCCAAAGTTGCTTTGATTCCCACCCTGTGTCCTCTTGGGACCTAACTGACCCCTCAGGGCAGCCACATGGTCTGAGGGTGGGAGGCTTCTGACCCCAGCCAATGTCACTGAGTCTGTACCTGGGGAACAGTGGCTGCTTGTAATGATGGGATTTTGCTCATTTTCAGATTTCTCAAGGGAGGGATAAAATGAGTAAGAGGAAGAGGCTTCGGACTTCAGGTATTTGGACACTCAAGCTGATCTTTTTATTGCTGTTTCTGCTCTTAGGAGGAATTTGGCTTTATTTATTGCAGAAGTGCTAACATGACCACATCAAGCTCCTTTTAAAAAAAAATGATTTAATACATGCTGGTAAGAAAAGTATAAATTCTGGAGGAACATATACAGTAGGAGGTGAAAGCTTTGTGGAGCTTCCCCCAGCCTCTGGTGGCGTCTACAGCTGAGGGATGGCCCCCAGCTTCAGGGCAGGAGTGCAACCTCCAAGCAGACCCACTCTTAGCGACCACTCCTGAATATAGCGTGACATGTTTCAAGGCCATCTGGTATATGGCTAAGTGCTTTACTCTCAAACCAAAAACCTGGGTTCCTCACAATTCTGCTACTCACTGTGTGATGGCAGATGACTTTGCGCCTCACTTTCCCCCTTATGCAAAGAGGGGATAATAAAAGCACCCCCAACTTTTTTTTTAGAACAGTGACTCTCAACCTGGCTGGTGGAGGAATTTGCCCTCCAGAGGATATTTGACAAGGTCTACAGATATTTTGGGTCTTCACAATAGGTGTGTGTAGGAGGGGTGGTATGGGCATTTAGTGGATCTAGGCCAGAACGCTGCTCAAAACAATAGAATGCTCAGGACAGCCCCCACAACACAGAATGGTGCAACCCCAAATGTCCATAGTGCCTCGAATGTCAGTAGTGTCAAGGTTGAGAGCCATGCCCTAGAGCGCAGATGTGGATTAGTAGTTGAAAAACACCAAGAAGAGATCCCTAGGTAGTACACAAACATAGCTGCTGTTATGATTGTCTTTCCAGGCTTTTAAAGTTCTTTACTTTTTAAAATAATTTTGGGTTTACACAAAAGTTACAAAAATAGTTCAGACTTCGGTGTACCTTACCCCAGATCCCTTTAATGTTAACATTCAGCAAAACCACAGGACGAGGATCAATCGTATAGTACACCATAAAAACAAAAACAAAACAAAACAAAAAACAGGAAGTGAACCTGACTACACTGCTTCTTCCAAACTTTTTCTATGTATGAGAAATATAGTGTTTTTATTGGAAAATAGAATCATCACACATTGGTATGCAACCTTCGTTTTTTACTTCATGGTATATTGAAACCATCTTTACTTGTTCATATACATATAGAATTTCCTTGTTCATAGAGAACAACAGCCGAGGCTGGTGTGGCTCAGTTGGTTGGGCGTCGTTCAATTCCTGTTCAGGGCACATGCCTAGGTTTCGGGTTCGGTCCCTGGTCAGGGCATGTCGGAAAGGCAACCAACTGATGTTTCTCTCCCACTCTTTCTCCCTCCCTTCCCCATTCTCAAAAATAAAAGATAAAAATAAAAATAAATTTTCAAAAAGAAAAACACCCAGTATTACAGTGTAGCTCCATTTTCCTGTCTATTGTCTAGGGTATCTCAAACTTTTTAAAAGTTTAGAAATTACTTTTTTACTTAGTGCTTAATGAACTTAGGGAGTAGCATTCATTTTCCCCCAAAACGTGGGACTGAAAAGAAACTATCAATAAATTGGAACTATTTTGTGCGGAAATGAGCAACAGGCTGTTTGGAGACGAGAATTCCTTTGACCTTGCAGGGGGAAGCTGGGGACAGCCAGGCCCACCCACAGCAAGTCATTTGGGGCCTCTCTTGGCCATGGACTCCCCAGCTCATTGAACCCCTAGGCTACCCTAGAACAGCTGTTTCTGTGTGTCTTGGATGGAGTAGGGGGAGAGGAAGACAATTCTGGCAGTTGGTGAAAGAAGCCCTTCCCTTCCCAAGGTCTTTTTGGCCTTTCGTGCTGAAAACAGGGTTTTGCCTTAGTTTTTCTTAGATTAGTCCTGTGGGGACAGATCACAGGAAGGAAATAGGAGGCTATTCACTTCTGTTGATAGTTTTGCTTTTTATTTGGTATAAATGTCCATTGGCTTAGCAAAGCAAGCTAGTGTTTGGGCATCTTAAAAAAACCAAATAAATGAAGCTGCTGTATTTTGTGTTTTCTGGCAGACCACAAGGTAGGAATATGTTTGTGTAAGAAATTGGTTGGAGCCTGGCTCTGGGTAGTGTTGTGGCAGGGGGACACCTAGGAGAGGGGTGGGAGGCAGGGCAAGGAGGAGATCAAAGGGTGCAGCAGACTTAGTTCCTCCCCTGGATAGCCTCAAGGTCAAGTCAAGGAAAACAGAAAAATGCTTCTCATGGAGAGAGCTAATCAAAATAGTGGAGGGTTATAGTTCTGAATGGGCACTCATGAACCGTAACTCAGAGAATTAGAAGAAAATACAGGAAAGTTGCTGTGGCCTAGTGGAGTGCGAACAGCTAAGTGAGTGCTGAGGACCATAGCAATTGGCACTGGGAAGGTTGCGGGGTGGGGTGCTTATTCAATGGATTTATTTCAAGGTGCGTAAAGAGCTGAGGTTCGAAAGGCTCTACATGACTGAACTCCAGGAAAACTAGGCCTGGGTCTGGTTTGTCCTTTTGTCTTCACTGCCTGCTCAGAACCGTGGTACGTAGGAGGGACTCAGTAAATGCTGAAGCACGCTTAAGTGTGAAGACTTTGGAGTTGGATGCCTAGATCCCAGTCTGGATTCCTGGGCTTCCATGTGCTTTCTCAGCTGTAAAACGGGTATAACAACAGGATCCTACCCAAGTTCGTAGGACAGTGTCTGGCATGGAGCTCACTAGAGCCAAACCTTATTCATCGAATAAATGATTTAGCTGGGGCCAGATGTGGGGAGGTTTCACAAGCCAGCCACTATTGGCAATTTCTGTGTAAGGGAGTTTCCGTCATCCAACATGGTGTTAATAAGCACTTTTGGGCTCTCAATTGCTCTCAGGGATGGGGAAGGTATTGCAGAGATATAAAGGACTAAGTGGCAGCTGAGACATCCCTTCCTTAGCACTTAATGACATGGGGTCCAAGTTTTCCCAGGGTGGATATTCTTCAGGCTTCACGGAAAACTAGAGTGGTACATAATTAGTTGCATCTGCATTTTCTGGGAAGTGATATGCATTTTCTACATGTTTATTCAGTTATCTACCAAGAATTTATTGATCCCTGACAGTGTACCAGATGCTCTTCTAGACACTGGAGGCCCAGCAGAATGAGACTAGATGTGGCCCCTCTTTGCACGGAGCAAGTTGTAGTGGGTAGGACAGAAATGACCCAGTACATCGGTACTTGCGAGAAGCCTTGAAGTGAACAAAGCAGCATGGGCAGAAAGTGGGTGTCTATGGAGAAGTCAGGGAACGGCCCCTCTGCAGAGGTGTTTGAGCTGAGACCCAAGGGAGCCGGTACACACCTCTCACCACTTGCCCAGAAAAACCGTCAGCTGCGTCCAGTTGTCTTCTGTGGTTTGGAGCTGAGCCAGGCCACCTCAGGATTCAGCCTCAGTCATGACCAGTCCATGGGTAAAAAGCCTTTGAATCCCATGGCCACATAAGCTCCTGGGTCCCTCCTGGACCAGGTTCCATCCTACCTCCCGCTCTCCAGACAAGTGTCAGAGCAGGGGTTTCCTGTCCGTGGAACAAACGTGCTCACACTGCAGCTGTGGCCCTGCCAGGCTGGGTGTTAGCCACAGCAGAGTGCGCTCTTGGCATCTCCCACCCCTTTGTCTTCCTTTGTCTCTAAACTAGGAGAAGGAGTCCGTCCACCAAAACCCTCAAAGAACTCAAGACTCAGAGACTCTGACGGGCCCCCCCACAGTTTGGAGTTGGGCCCTTTGCATCACCCTGAAGAATCAGAAAGCAGGTCAGAACCTGCTCCCTCTGCAGAAGAGAGTGGGGAGGAGCCAGGACAGGTGGCCTCCAGGTAGGTGGCTCAGAATATTTCAGCACCTCCCCATTGACAGTGGGGCAGGGCACAGCCACCCTGTGAACAGGATGCCAAGGGGAGGGGATTCATGCCTCCCCCTGGGGACTCAGGGCCCTTGAACTGTGCTTCTTGATGCTTTCCTCCCTGGGACTTTCTATCAATAAAGGTCAATGTTACAACTACGGGCAATAAAAATCTTGAATTTTTCAAGATCATTTAGCTTCAGAATGTAGCTCATCCTTTCTGCTGGTCAAATCCATATTTATCCTGTATTCCTTCTTGATGAAGAAAGTATGAAAGGAGTAGGTCTACAAAATAGTAACCCATAAAAGAAAATAACAATAATTATATGGTAGGCAGTGCGCTAATAAACATTTTACACGTATCAGCTCATTTAATCCTCATGGCACTTTAAAGTAGATTTTTGTCCCCTTTTAACAGGTAAGGACCCTGAGGCTTCTAGAGATCAAATGACTTGCCCAAGGCTTCTGAGCTGGTGCCAGGCAGGCTGGGGTTCTGGCTGTATCTTGCTCCTGTGCTCCTAACTACCATGGTTTCCTAGTCCCATCCCCCTGCCTCCGCCCCCCCCCCCTCCGCCCCAGGGAATAGGTAATTAAGCAAGGTGGGGAAAAATAAAAATCTGGAGAAGAGTTTAGTCTGTCCATGGCATTAAGCCACATGTAACTACCTATGGCAAAGTAGAAAGGGTTAGTGTGAATTAGGAGAAGGAAGGCTCCTGCTACCTGAAATCTTCAGAGAAGGCGTCATGGCTTGGACTGCCAAATTTTCTGAGTAAAATATTAAGGCTTGTGATCTCTGACAGAGTTTTCTGCGGGGTGTGTGTATGTGTCTGATCTCAGGTCAATGCAGTTTTAGGATTAAAGGCAGCCCTGCTCTGTGAGTGAGAGGAAGAGAGGGCCGCGTGCCACACCTAAGCCGTTTTCCCAGGCACGACAATGTCATTGTGCTCCTTATTCCTGGAGAGGCCAACAGGGCTGACAGGGTTACAGTCGCTATCCACTATGCCTTCTGTGCCCATGAGAATAGTCAGAAGCAGGTTCCCAGAATTTTCTCTTTTTTTGTTTTTTAAATGTTTTATTAAGAAGTACTGCGTACACAGAAATATAACAGAAAGCAAACAAGCTTAACACATTTATATTGAGAAATGAAATCTTGGCAGCACCCCAGAAGCTGCCCAAACAACCCACCCCAATTAAAGTTTTCTGACAGGCTTTTGCTACCAGTGTCCAGCCTTACTCTGTCTCCAGAACGTCCCCAGCACAGTTCAAGCCCATCAGCATATCTTCACGCTTTTTCCTGTTCCACTTCCAAAGTTGAAATCATAGGAAATTCTGCTTCCAGATTTTGGTCTTGTTTTTTTTTTTTTTTTTAACATCGTACATCTCCACATTTATTTAAATACAAACATAGTTTCACCAATTTTTAAAAAATGGTTTTATTTTTAGAGCAGTTTTAGGTTTACAATAAAATCGAGAGGGAGCCCCAGAAATTCTCCACACGCCCCTTGCCCTCACACCTGTGCAGCCTCCCCCGTTATCGCCGTCACTCGCCGCAAGGGTACTTTTTATTTCTTTTAACCAAAGGTGAACCTGCACTGACACATCATCGCCCAGAGTCCCTAGTTTACCTTAGAGTTCACTCTTGTTGTACATCCTATTTGTTTGGGCAAATGTATAATAACCCGTATTCACCACTGTAGTATCACGCAGTGTTTGCGCAGCCCTAGTGATCCCCTGTGCTCTGCTTGTTTTTCTCCCCCCTCCCCCTGCCCCTGGCAGACACTGATCTTACTGTATCCATAGTTTGCCTTTTCCAGAATGTCATATAGTTGGAATCATATAGTGCATGGCCTTTCGATTGGCTTCTTTCACTTAGTAATATGCATTTAAATTTCCTCTATGTCTTTTCGTAGCTTGATAGCCCATTTCTTCTTAGTACTGAATAATATTCCATTGTCTAGATATACCACAGTTTGTTTATTCATTTACCCACTGAAGGCCATCCCGGTTGCTTCCACATTTTGGAAATTATGAATATACCTGTTTTTTTTGACACAGTGTTTCCCATACCTACCAATCCCCTTCCTTAGAATTTCCAAAGTTGGGGGCTGGAGTGTCAGTGCAAATGAGAATTCCAGGGCTTACTTCAGGAGCCAGTTCCTGGGATTATATGGGTAGAGCGCTGCCAGAGCAAGCAGCTTGGATTCTAGATGTGGGACTCAGCACCGTCCTGGGACTCAAATGTTCCCCAGGACACCGCTCCCCTCCTCCATCTCACCCTCTCTCAGCAGGTGCTCCAGGGCCTGCCCTCCAGGAGACTTGGAGCACTACTTTGCCTTTGGACTTCATTCTCTGTCCCACTAGGCACACCGAAAGCCTTGATGACCTTAGAACCTCTTCTGTTTTGTCTTTCTCCATCCAGCTCCCTGGATAAGGAAGCAGGAGCTCCCTCCAGGCTCCTGGTGCAACCAGAAAAGGAGCCAATTGCCTGTCCTCCTTCTCAGGTGAGCCTGTCTAGTAGCTTTTCCTATGTGCATATAGAAGCCGCCTCCCTTCAGCCTGCAGGGGCTGGTTTGCTGTGGGGATGGAGGGCAAAGGCCATGTTTGAGACTGTAAGACAGAAAACATTGGGGGTATTTGGTTTCTTTCTGAGACCTCATTCCTCTCTTATATTTATTGCTCCTTTGTTCTTGTATCCTGTTCACAGATCTCAGTTGGGAGGTTTGTCCCCCAGTTCGCAAAACCCAGGAAAGCAGTGACAAGACTAGCAGCTACAAGGGAAGAGGACCTTGGGAGAGTGGCCTTTAGCTTGGTAAGCCCCTGAAATCAGCAGGCGAGCCCCATAGATGTGCAGCTTCTTAGCCCAGCTTTGGCAGCTGAGTTTAACCTTGGCTCCCTGTCCACATCCCCATTTTCAGCACGTTGCACTACAGATGTCTCTGGACTGCAGGTGCTATGCAGGCAGCTCTCAGGCTTGTGAGAGGCACTCAGGACAGCTGTGCCTAAACCAAAAGTGCCTGAGACCAGAGTCCTCTTGCTTACCTTCTGTCCCTGAACCCCTTTGCTTCTCAGGCTTTTGTGCAAATGGGGGCTGGGATGGGGGCGTCTTACAGCGTGCTTTCTTGTCCTTGCCACCATGAGCCCCAGGGTGGCCAATGTCTGGTAACATGTGTCCCTAAAAAAGTGAGTGGTTGGCATGCCCAGCAGCTGCATTTCTAATCACCCCCAACTGGGAACACCCTTGATATCTTTCAATGGGTGAATGATTGAACGAACAATGGTCTTCTCTCTACACCATGAGCACAACTCAGCAATGAAAAAAAGGAACAAACTAGTGCCACAGGCAACCACCTGGATGGATCTCTGAGCTTTGGAGTAGGAAAAGCCAATCCCAAAAGGTTATTTGCTGTTGGATTCCATTTACAGAACATTATTGAAATGACAAAAGCATAGACATGTTGGGTGGACTCGTGGTTGCCAGGGGTTGGAGGCGGAGTGGGCAACATGGGAGAGACGTGAACGGGGCCACAGTTGGCAGCACCAGGAATCTTTGTGTTGCAACTTTTCAGTTTCTTAACTGTTGGGGTGGGGGCACAGCCTCCACCAGTGAGAGAACGTATATAGAACTTAGTATACACATGCAAGTGGGAGAGCCCAGAAAGGTCAGTGACTTTATCAGTTTCAACATCCTGGTTGTGATAGTGTGTTTTTGTTATTTAAGATGTTAGTATTGGGGCAAACTGGGTAAGGAGCACAAAGAATCTTGTTATTTCTCACAACTGCACAAGAATTCACAATGATCTTATCAAAAGTTTAAATTTAAACAAAGGAGGGGTGATAACTTTGTCTTCCATGCAGAAAAGGCTGTCAGTTGCTCAGAAGGCTGGTTGCCGGTGACTAAACTGAAGCAGTATTGACACGCCGCAACCTTCAGTGGTCTGGCACTTACAGTGCAGACCCTCCTAGAAAGGTTGGCTTTAAGGTGCAGGGAGGTAAGTATGGAGGAGGTGTCCCCCCAAGCTCTGATAACTGTACAAGAGAAGTGGGGGGGGGGGCAGCTGCTGTTTATAGGCACCCATAAATGCCAACCATAGTCCCTAGGTAGTGAATTTATTTGCAGTCCAATTTGAAGGGAGATCTGATGGCATGGGTGTGAAAGGAAGAGAGATGCTGGGTTGACTCCCTTGTTTGGGGCCTAAATAAATAGCTTGCAGATTGGAGTTGCTGCCAGTTGGGACAGGGAGACTCTGAGGCGATGCCCAGGAGCTGGTGTTGGTTGTGTCACATCGGACATGACCAGGAAATGTCAGGCAGAAATGTCAGATACGTGCATCTAGTCGGGGGAGATCTGGGCTGCATTGACGCCACAGGTTCAGGCCTGAGCACCTGGAGGATCGGGCTGCCCTCGCCCTAAGGACAGTGCTCCTCTGTGTCCCAGCTGGGACCGTGCTCTCACTGAGCCTGCTCTGGTCATCGTCTCCTACCACGTTTCGGGACTTCTTTAAAAGTAGTTTGTTTTTTGTAATTTTTTTCCCTTACCATTTATCCCCCTTATTACCCTCTTCCCCCTCTACAGGCCCTCCTCCCTTAGGGACTTTTCATTTCTCTCTCTCACCCTTTTTAAGCATTTTATCTTGGAATAATTGGAGATTTATAGGAAGTTGCAAAAGCAATATGGACCCAGGTGTCCATTGATGGGTGAATGGATAACAAAATATGGCATATCCACACAATGGAATATCATTCAAGCTTACAAAGGAAGGATATACTGAGGCTGCAACATGGATGAACCTGGAGGACATTATGCTAATGAACAAGCCAGTCACAAAGCAACAAATACCATACAGTTCCACTCACATGAAGCCCCCAGACTAGTCAAACTCCTAAAGACAGTAGTATGGGGTCATGAGGGGCTGGAGGGAGGCGGAGTGGGGACTGAGTACTGTATTTCGCCATGTATAATGCCCACCCATGGTTTTGTGCACATTATACACAGCATTATTATACTCATGCCATGTAATCATGATACCCATGTAGTGATTTTTTGCCAAAAATTTGAGCAAAAAAGTGTGCATTATACATGGGAAAATTCAGTATTTAATAGGGATAGAGCTTCAGTTGTACAAGGTGAAGGAGCTCTGGGGACAGGTGATGGTCATGGTTACGTAACAGTGTGAAGGTACTTAATGCCACTGAACTGTGCACTTACCAACTGGTGAAGGCGGCGAATCTTACGTTGTGTGCATCATACCACAATTTAAAAACAAAACAACACAGAGAAGTCCTGGTGTTTCCTCCCCTAGCTTCCCCCAGTGGTAACATCTTACTTAAGTGTAGTCCATCACTAGTCCATGCAATTGAGGCTGGTGTGACCCACAGACCCCCTTGATATTTATGTCCTTGATCTCCACATGCCTGGTACTGGTGGGAAGAAGGAGCTGTTGGAAGGAAGGATTCCTGTGCTTCCACGTCCCCCTCCAACCTTTGGCACAAAGCTCTGTCCTGTACTAGCACAGTAGTCCCCCACTTATCCACGGTCTCGCTTTCTGTGGTTTTAATTACCTATGGACAACCACTGTCTGAAAATATAAAGTGGAAAGTTCCAGAAATAAACAATTCATAAGTTTTAAATTGTGTGCTGTTCTGAGTGGTGTGATGAAATCTTGCATAGTCCTGTCCGGGATGTGAATTGTCCCTTTGTCAGTAGCTCCATCCTGCACATGCTCTCCTCCCATTAGTCACTTAGTAGCCATCTCAGTTATCAGATTGATTGTTGTGGTATCTCAGTGCTTGTACCCAAGGAACCCTTATTTTACTCAGTAATGGCTCCAAAGCCATTCACAAAACTTATTACAGTCCTATTTTATTAATTACTATTGTGAATCTTTTACTGTGCCTCATTTAAAAATAAAACTTTATCATAGATATATATGTATCGGAAAAAACATTGTGTGTGTGTGTGTGGTTTGGTACTATCCGCAGTTTTAGGCATCCATTAGGGTCTTGGAATGTGTCCCTCATGCATAAGCGAGGGTTACTGTACTGATCCCTTCTGGCGTCTGCACAGCATCTGAGTCTTTGTACAAGGGCAGTAACAACTAGAAAAATCTTCAAAGTGGTTGATTATTGAAGGCCTGAGGCTGAGTCTTTCTCTTTGCACAGGAAACAGCACCAGAGCCCACCACCCAGCAGGCAGGAAGCCAGTTGTGGGAGGAGTCCCCAGGGCTCACTGTCTGGGAGGCCAGGGAGCCAGGAGGCCAGACCCAGGCAGATGGCACCCGCTACAAGCACAACATCCAAAACCCTGTGACACCTGTGTTCAGCAGAGGGGATTCTCAGTCTGAGGTCTCCAATGACGTTTCTCCAGAATGTGGGATGGTGCCCTTGGCCTCAGAGGGGGCCGGCCAGAACTACCTATTGGAGCAAGGGACCAACTTGCCAGGTGGTGGAGGCACAGAGAGGGGTGGGATTCCTGGTGATCTCAGCCAGAAAGGGCATCTACCAAGCTGTGGCGCTGAAGAGCAGGAGCCCGACCGAGGAGCCCCACAGGAGGAAGGTGCCCAAGGGGGAGCAGGGGGTGACCAGGGGAAAGGAGAGAGCGCCCTGGGCCTGGCCACTCGGGGCTCAGAGCCTGGATCTGCAGCCCACGGCCCCTCTGAGCCCATGCAGACACTTAGCAGGGTTGGCAGGGAAGCAGGAGGGAGCTGTAGCAGCCCAAGACACCCCTCCCTTAGGATCATTGTCATCACAGATGAGACCACAGATCCCGCCAGGTCAGAACAGAGGGCTCTGGAGGTGGCTGAGCCAGGTGGGAAGCCTAACACCAAGGCACCTGCCTCTCCCAGCGGGAAGGCCCCTGATGGCGACCATAGTGGGGCCCTGCTTAGAGGTATACCCCTCACGGGGGAGACCATGGGAGGCAGAGGGGAGGCAGAGTGGGAAGCTGAGCCCCCTGGTGATGTCCTGGAGGGCCCTGCAGCCTCCCTGGCTCTGGCTCATGGGATCCAAGAGCCCACAATAGGTGCTAGAGATTCCAGTCCTGTAGCCTCAGAAATGGGCCCAGTTGTTGATCAGACAGGCTGGGATGAGGAACCCCTAGGAGGTGTGTGTGTGCTGCCTTTGCTATCACAGCCTTCGGGTGAAAAAACACCAGAGTTAGGCAGCCAGAGTCATGAACAAGACCTTGGGGGGCCCAGTCTGTCCTTGAGAGCCTCTGCTCCATTGTTGCACAAAGAAGCAGTGGATGGTCCTCCTTGGGATGCCAGGGCCCAGCAGGGCAGGCCAGGGGCCCCCACAGGCCCGGCAGGCCAGCCCAAGCACCCTCCTGACTCTGCAGACCAGCCTGTGTTGGAGGGGTCCGCAGCCATGGAACTCGACTTCCTGCCAGACAGCGAGATACAGGATGCCTTGGAGGCCACCGACTTTGAAGCCCCACCTGAGCAGGTAAGAGTGTCCTTAAGTTACAGGCAGTCCATCCCAGGACAGGCACCAGTGTCCACAGGCCTTCACCTGAGCCATCCAGTGGAGGGAGAAGATGGGGCATGTGGTGGTCTGTTTATATGGCGCGCAAGTCTAAGAACCTGAGTTGCAGCTTCAGTGGGTTGGAGTCTGTGATTTTCCAGAAAGAAAAGACCTGCCTTTCCATGAGGGACCTGTCCGAAACACGTGCATGGAATTTTGTTTTTCTGCTGGATTTTGTAGAAACTTTGCTTCCTTCAGGGATCTCCTGCCTGACAGGCAGTGGGAAAGTTGCCCAATGAGCCTCTGCCAGCCATGGCATTCACCTGTCAGGGCATGTGACAGCCTTGCTCTGGCCTCATTCCCAGGGGAAGCACCACATCCCTGGCTGGTGACACACCTAAGCTGGGCTCAGTGCTTTGCAGTGTTGCTCCGGTAGGTGGGTGGTTCTGGTTCTCCTTCCGCCAACTGGGCACCTGCCAGAGGCCACACTGCCAGGAGGGGAGGAGGCTGGGTCTGCGCCCAGGTCGGCCTCATCCTACAGCTGTGCCTCAGCCACTCCATTCCAGATGCAGAGCCCAACTCCCTTGACAAATGTTGGCATGCTTTTTCCAGCTGTCTCTGTTGAGGTGTTTTTTTCAAAATTTATTTAATACATGCTTGTCAAGAGCCTGCTTGTGCCAGGCATGGAAACATAAGGTGTGATTCCTGCCCCCCCCCAAAGGGTTTTGGTAGCATTGTCCCCACCGGCCTTTCCCAGAGTGAGCGTTTTTATACCCTATCATTTTGGAACTTAAAGAGTCTTCATGTGACACAGCTCCGAAACAAGCAACAGGACTTCATCTGGGGCCCAGCTGAAGAAAGCCAGCTGTTCTGAGTGTGGAGGGGGACATGGCTGGGTGAGCAAATGTGGGTCTCCACTGCACTACCTTCTTTGGGGACAGCTGGGGGCATTTTTGACCCTCCACAGTGTTCACCTGTGGCATGATTTCAGACCCAGTCCTCCCTGCCCCCTGCAGGCCCTGGCTCCTCTTGCCAGCCGTTTAATGACCACAGACAAGTGAGTTCACGGAAAGTAGGTCACGGTGCAAGTAGGGGTTCAGGTGCTGGGACCAGCTGAAATTTTAGAATTGGGGCCTTATTTCTTGGAAAATGCAAACTCCTCACTTGGAAAGTAATGATGGCTAAGTTACTCCCAGTCTCTGGCCTCTTGGGCATTGGCTAAGGGAGAAGCCTGGGGAAGCAGTTGGGACATTTGGTGGCACCCAGCAGGCAAAAGAGTGAGCCCTTCCAGACAGGCTGCCAGAATGGCTGCCAGTGCCTCACCTTGGAAAACACCAGGGAATCAGCAGCGCAGGGCACCTGGGCAGACAGCCAGGTGGTCAGACCGGGCAGGTCCTCCGTGGGAGCAGGCTCTGCCTTGACAAAGCTGCCAACACCCGGACGAGGTTTGTGTTGATACTGGGTGTTCCCAAACAAGTTGGGGTGACCCAGGCACAAGCAGATTCCCAAGGGAACAATCCGGGTGGCCTTTGGTAGGAAGGACAGTTGGGCAGGAACACTTGGGAACAGAGCACAGATGGATGGGAGCAGCAACACGGCCTCCCCTTGACTGGTCCCCAGCCTCACCGGGCACAGCCATGAGCGCCATTGCAGAGACAGTCACTCAGGCTCACGGAGGTTGCATAGCAGTGACAAACCAGTTCAAACCCGTTTCAAACCCAGCTTCCTTCATGGGAAAGTTTGGTGTTTTCTTCTCAAAACAGCTCTCAAAACAGTATCATGGGGTATCCCATGATACCCCAGAGCTGGTGGAGCCTCTGTACACTGTTTAAGGAGCATGATATAAAAAGCTGATTCCCATGTCCCTTTCAGCAGCCTATAGCTGTGGCCCTGGAACGTTCAGGACCACTTTTGTCATGATAAACATTTACACAGTCCTGGTGGATGGGAGGTTATTCCTCATGGCCAAGAACAGTGCAGTCAGTTTGATGGATATGTGACACTGAATTGTGTTTTTGAATCAGTTGCCTACATGAAATAGCCAGGTACCGGAAGACACTGTATTGTCTACAGCAGAGATCCCAACTGGCACCGCTGACGTTTAGGGCCAGATTGTTCTCTGGTAGGGACTGTCCTGTGCACTGTAGGGTGTTGAGCAGCATCTCTGGCCTCCAACCACCAGATACCAGTAACACCTTTACCCCCAGTCATGATAGCCAAAAATGTCCCCAGGTGAGAACCGCTGGGTCACAGGCAGTTTTTCATGTGGTTCAGGTACCTCTTTGCTAGTGTAGCTGAGCCTTTCACCCCATTCCCTACCCCATTAGGGGAGAGGATGTCCCTAGAACAGGACCCTTTCCAACCCCAGGACTTGGGTCACCTTAGAAGAGGCCCTGGGCAGGCCACCCCGCCTCAGCCTCTTTTCCTCTTTCCGAGGGACGTATGTCACCTCCGTGATTGAGCCTGACATTTTCCACAAAAATTAAACCACTGTTGACATTTAGAGACTTGAGCTTCTCGGGGTTATCTGGCTCTCTCCCCTATTAAGTATGAATTTTTCCTTTGCATTATATTTGCAAAATTTTTCCCTGACAAAATGAGTGGCTGATCTCTTTCCTCGACACCAGAGCCCACCTCATGACAGTCACCACCCCAGGAGGGCTTCTCTGCACCCTTCTAGATACTCTGGGAAACGCAGGAGAAAGCACTGCCCCTCAACTGTTAGGAAGAGGGAATGAGCCACCCCCAGGCATAGGGCATGGACCAGCCTGTTGGAAGGTGCAAGTCCCGCGGTTACACTGGCCGCTCTTTTTTTGGGGGGGGGGGTGGCAAGAGCCGCCTAGACTGGAGGCCCCCGGGTCTAACCCTCACTTTTCCTCTGCAGGAGTTCCAGCCTCAGTGTTCCCAGCCTGGTGAGGGGAAGGGAGGCATTCCCTGCGTGACTTTTCTTTCCTCCCGATGCAGGGCTCACCCAGCTAGACTGTTCATGCATGCTCTCTCTTTTCAGTTTCCTGCAGGGGGCATGGCAGGCCCTTGCTGGCCCGGCACCAGCCCAAGTACTGATGGAGGCCCCCTCACCAAGGCCCAGCTAAGGTAGGCCAGGTGGGAGGCCGCCCCTGGGCCCTTGCGTTGGGGTGAGTCCGCCCTTCAGAGGGGGAGTGCCCTTGCTTTTCTGGCACTGGTGCTCCCATGGTCTCTCCCCTCACCCCTGCGAGCTTCCATTTTGCCAGCGAGGGGCACGAGGGGACCCTGGCTGACCCTCACTGGGCCTTGCGTCCTTCAATCCAGTAAGGGGCTGAGCCCTGTCTTTCCAGCTGCATGTGTCTCCGGCCCCTTGCATGTGGAGAACTGGTGACCAGCCATCTGTTCCCAAGCAAGCGTCTCTCCCCAGGAGCCCTGGGTGGTATCCCTGGTTCCGTGGGTTGTCTGGATTCAGTATGTGCATTTTTCTGGAGAGAGGGTCCATAACTCTCCCAGAGTCTCCTCAGAATGAGATGGCTAAGAGCCATTGGTCTGGTGGATCTTGGGTGGTCCCAGGTTGGTCACAGAGTGGGCTCTCCAGGGCTTCTGACCTGTCCTGTGTCCTCACTTCCCACTTGGCTCTGTGGCCCCAGAAGAGGCCATTACTCTCCTGCAGGCCACCAGGTTCACTGTCCCTCTACTCGAAGATTATGTACATGTGGCGGGGGCTGTCCTCTCCCCTTACCCCAGAGTCTCTCATAGTCCATCATCTCTCTCCTGTCCTTTATCCCAGCCGTGCCAGGGGCAAGCACTGGCCACCTGTCCTTTCCTGTTACCTCCTGCTGGAACAGGCCTCTCTAGAGGTGTTGCCTTATCAATTATTTGTGGTGAAGTTTCTGTTTCTGTCTAGCAAGTGTGGAGGAGGGGCTGGGTTGCAGCCCTTGGCGAGTTTTTCTGCTCCTCCTCCTCCTCGAGGTGTGAGGTGGAGTGTTTTCACCTTCTTCCCTTGCACTAGTCACTAGTGCAACCACCCGTTGCACGACTTGTACACACACCCCACCCCTGCCCAAGGAACAGAGGCAGTTTAGTTAAAGTAGCCCCACCATTGTTGGAGCAAAGAGAAGGGAGAACCGTGTCTGAATCTCTGATGGTCTCACTGGGCCAATGTGGCCCCAATGGGCACCAGGAAGGCTCAGGGCAGGTCCTGAGGTCCGTGGCTCCTGGTGAGTAAGACACAAAAGGAGCTAAGTCCCGGGTCACCCAGCCATCTTGGGTGACTGAGGAAGGTGGAGCGGAACCAGAGATTTCTTAGTGACAGCCCGGTATATTCTGCCAAGCCTGGGGTGTGGTAGGCTTTCTGGAGCGCTGTTGACCCAAGGTTCAGGGGATGACCCTCTGCCAGCACCCACAGGCCACACATTAGAGACAGTGGGTGCTGCGGTGCATCCACCCCTCCCACAGATGTTCATGCCACCCAGCGCTGGCTCTTCCTGGAACGGCTCTGGGCACAGAGCAGGCAGCACACAACGCGGGGCTGCGATCTAGTGTATGTTGGGTGGGGCAGGCAGGAGAGAGAGACAAATTAGTCAGATGGCGGAGTGTTAAGGAGAGAAAGACAGTGGGGAAGGGGGTAAACTTTTAACTGAGTAATCAGGGAAGTCCAGTTTCCCCACCCCTCAAGGAGGAGACATTTGGGAAAGAACATTCCAGAGCCCTAAGAGGTGCACAGGGAAAGGCTTCACTGTGGCTGGAGCGGGGGGAGGGAGACAAGAAGAAGGAGATGGGGTCTGGAGGTGCCAGCAGATGGTTCGGTAAACCTGGTTTCCATTTTCACAGCCCTCCACCCCATGCTGTGTGGGAGACAAGCTACAGGGGCAGGAGCTGGGGGTCCAGGTAGCTCATGGCAACAGCTCCCCAGGGGTGGCTGTGGTAGGGAGAAGGGGCTGCATTCTGGGTGTGCTTTTGGCAGTTGATCCAGCTGGGGTGGCCGTCAGAGCTCTGCCCATGTCGCTTAATATCTGGAAAAGCAGACAGCTGAAGGCCCAGCAAAAGCCCCCCAGAATGGAGTTTAGTGGAGCTGTCTGCTGAAGTCAGGCCTCTTACCTTCCTTTCCCTCCAGTGGCCACAAGGGGATCAAACCCTGCGAAGCCAGCAGGATGGAGGATGCGACAGATACTGTGCGTGGCCTCATTGTTGAGCTCTCCAACCTAAAGTAAGAGCTGGGCTTGGATCCACAGGGGATGGATGGGACAGGCAGCCCATGGAGGGCCCAGGTGGGCCCCGGGAGGGTGGGATTGGGGGGAACAAGAAGGACAGCAAAGAGGCCCCCCCACAGTGGCTAAGGCCACCCGGCAAGCAGCCTCTAGAAAGTGTCACTTCCTTGCCCTCACCTATCCTGTATAGAATTTTTTAAGCCCTAGAGAGGGGCTGGGATAGTCAACAGTCTACTCTGTAACAGGTTGATCCTGATTGTGTGTGTGTGTGTGTGAATATGCCTCTGAAGGAGTGTGTGAGCCTGTGTGGTGTGAGACCTGAGTGTGCATGAGTGTCTGAGCCTGTGCGAGCAGGAGTGTGTGGTGCGTGCTGCTCTGGCAGATAGGTGATGCCAGCACTTTCCTGCAGCCGGCTGATCATGAATGCCCACCGGGACCTGGAAGCATTCAAGCGCCTAAGCTACAGGAAGGCGAAGCCTGCAGGGAAAGCCCCCACGCCCTACACATCAAAGGGGGCTGGGACTCTCCCTCGAGGGGAGCAGTCCTGGAGTGATTTGTAGATGCTTCCAAGTGGGGAAGCTGAGGGACCACATGTGCAGTGCTTGCCCCGCCCATGGATGTGTGTTTTGTTCACACCCTGACCCCCCGGGGGGTGCCTAGTGTTCCGCCAGAAGGCTGGCAACAATCTCTCCGCACACCCCGGAAAGCCTGTAGTCCTCGATGTTGCTCCTGGTGTCCCAAGATGCTCCAGTGGGTCCTGATGGGCCCCAGAAACTGCCTTGCAGCCCACCTGGAAGTCATCGTCCCCTAGGAAACCCTGAAGACCTCATTGGAGTCGCAGCCTCCCCCTGGGGCCTCTATTGGTGGGGGGGAGCCTGCTCCTCCAGGGGCTGAGGCTACAGTTGGGAGGTGTGGGAGGGCTGGGGCCTGGAGGGCAGGGCCCAGGGCCACCCGGATGCTTATCTGGGTTTGCAAATTTTGACCCCTTTGCTAAGGTTATGGCAGGTCTGGAATTTGTTTCTTTGCTGCAGGAGAAAAAGGCTCTTTGTTTGTTGTATGCTTGTCTTTCTCTGGATTTCCATTTTATTTATTTCCGGGAGACCATTAATAAATGATCGCCTAGTGAGGCTTCAGGACCTCTCCTTTGGGTGTTGAAGCCTTGGAGCTCCTTGTGTTCTGCCCACAAATCTCCCTAACCGCCTCTTTCCCCTTTCACTTCCCATCCTCCCTAGGAAGGCAAGTAGGGTTACTGCTGAGACACAGGTCAGGGGGGTCCCCACAAGTTCCCAAGCATGCGGCATTCACACCACTCATACACACCAGCACCTGAGGTTGTGAGCCCACTACAGAGTTATCCTCAGCACTCAGGGGCCCTGTCTGTTCTCTGAGGGACACACTTCGAAGGCCCAGCCTAGAAGGAGGCCGCCCCCAGGGGTTGCTGATTCTGACTGGATGCCAAGGGTAGTCGCCGCATACCTGGGCCCACACAAGCCTGATCATAGCCTCCATGGTGGCTCTGGAAGCAGCCTCAGGTGTTGTCATCAAACCCACTTCACAGGAAGAGATACTTCTGTTAAATTAGTCACCACCAGGTGGGCCAAACCTGCTCCTTTATTAGTGGCTCTGCCTGTGGCCTCCACAGTCAAACTCCTAGGGCCATCTAACCCTAACCCTTCCCACTGCCTTCTTACACCCTGGGAGGCCCCGTGCAAGAGGGGAGCCAGTCGGGTCAGGGTCCCCTGACACCCCTTCTTCCTTGACCCCTCCAGGACATGCCGGTTCACCCATCCCCCTGGGTCTAAGCCCCAGCAGCTCCGGCTGGTGTCCTTGGCAGTTTGCGGCAGCCAGGATGTTGTGTCCCCAACTCAATTTGAAGATATGTGGGGCTGCCCCTCTGTCTTCTTTGTCCTCCTCGCTCCCCTCCAAGCCTAGACAGCAGGCTGTCTTCAAGGACAGGCTTCCACTCCTGGCTTTCTTCCTGGGTGGCCTCAGGGCCCAGTCCAAGGGCCGAGGGGACCCGTAAAGTCCACCCTGCCTCCACCCAACCCTGTGAGAGAGACCGTGTGGGTTGGGGATAGAGGCCAGCCCTTAGCTCAGGGAAGGAATGTGGATGGACACTTGCCACCTGCTCTTCCCTGGAGGCCAGGGGAACCAAGCTCTGGCAATGGAGGGGACAAACGGGTGGGGGTTCCTCTGAGTACAGCCCCCCAGGAGAACCAAGTCACAATCCCTGAGTGTGTGTGGGGGGGCCTCTGTATCTCCCTCGCACTCTTGCCCAAGCAGACCCAAATCGCATCCACAGCGTCCTTGGGCAATGCCTGGGCCGGCTGACCGCCCACACCAGGAAGGCCTGGCACGGGATTCCATGGCCCCAAGTGCTGGGACATTGTGGGGCGATGTAAACATCCGCTGAGGGCCTCTTTGGTGAGGACAATGTGGGGAGAGAGGCTTGGTCTAACTGTCCACTTCCCCCATTAAACCAGGCCCCTACCCGCAGTGTAGGGGATTCCACCTGTTTAGCATATTGATATGTAAGGGGTCCCTGAAAGGGAGTTTGAAAACACCAAACGTCAGACAAAGTGCCTAATGTGCTAACCAGGCAGCAGAGGTTGTGCCCAGAACTGCCAGGAAAGGGGCAAGCGCTCAAAGCCCCAGAGCCACCCTGTGGTGCCCACTCTCGTTTCTCAGCTCACCCCAGGGCCCCAGGGTGAACCAAAACCCAAACAGCAGTCAGGAAAGTGGGAACCAGAGTAGCGTGCGCGGGCCAACAGCCAGGAGAGAAGAGGTGCCCCAGCCCCTCCAGCACCGGTCCAGCTACCGGTCTCAAGACCAGCCTCATCAGACTGGTGATCCACTCACAGCATTTATTGAGTGCTGACTGGGTGCCCCATGTTGGGGAGGGAGGGCGGGGTGTCCCGGAACCACCTCCTTCTTCACAGGGCTCTTTTGGCAGTGTTTCCAGACCTTGCTCCCTCACTCAAGCCCCCAGGCTGGGGGAAAGGTTTGGGGGAGGGTCCTCGCCGGATGCTTCTTCGAAATCCAGCCTTCAGGGAGTCAGCGTCCCCAGGCCAGGCGAAGCCAGCATCCCGGACGTCCTCCCCGCACTTGCCTCCTAGGCAGAAGTGGAGGGGCAGCAGGAAGAGGGTGAAGGTCCAGACGACTTCCCGGCACCTTTGGAACCTGGGTTTTAAAAGCGGAGGGGAAAACACAAGGCGATGATTCCTATTGTCAGAGTTCCAATTCAACCGGCAGGGCTGCCAGGGCTCTGGCGCCACCCGCAGGCTACTTGTGAAATAGCACACCAGCCACATTCTTGAACTAGGGCAAACCCCAGGTGAGACCCAGAACCGGACGCAAGCGCAAAAACTTCACCTCCGGCCTGCAATGCTGCCTCCTCGTGGCCGTAGGGCTCCGGGCTCCCGAATTAGTGATGCCCCAGAGCGTTACCAGGCAGGCTGGCCTCAGGCAGCCCTTCCGTACCAAGGGCGGGCTCCCTCACTCTTTCACTTCATACCCTAGGAGGCAAGTTTTCCTACTCCTTCAGAATTAAGGTGAGAAAGGATTCTGAGACCATCATCTCTGCGTGTCCGCTCAGTTTCCTGCACCTCCCAGTGGACCTCACCGAACCTCACAGCGATACAACCTTCTGGAGGCAGCATCTCACTTAACAAATACTCACTTCCCAGCTGCGAGGGTCGGGCGGGGTCCTCCTGCGGGCTCACCGCCCTCAAGGGGCTCACAGTCTGATGGGGAGGCGGTACCCACCCACAGTACCCAAATAGACAGCAACACTGCCCCCACAGACCCCCCTCCTCTGTTGGCTGACTATCCCGTGGTGTCGCTAAAACGGATTCGTCCTTTAAGACGGCACAGGAGCTGTCTTTTGCATCTATAAAAATAACTGCTACCAGTTAAGCCCAAACTACTCACAGGCTGAATGGTCCCTGGCCTAGAAGCACAGAGGGCTCAGGGGGAGCTGGTTAGAATGCAGGTGCTCAAGCTTTACCCAAACCAAACCTGGAGAATGGAAACCCCCATTTCGTGAGCAAGATCGGAGTGACCTCACGTGGTGGGCCATGCAGGCGAGCAGAGCAAGTTCAGACCCAAGGGAGGCTCCGGCTGCAGGTCTCTCCTAGGCTGCGGCTCCAAAAGCTCTTCTGGGCTGCTCCCCACATAGCAAACTCATGGGGCTCTCCTCCTGTCTGACATTTCCCTGGGTGCTGGGCCATTCCCTGCCCACCTCTGGCTGGAGAACCAGCCCCTTCCAACACCCTCACATCCATTCCCATGGTCCAGCTGCTTAGCCACAGTCTAACACATTCTCAATACACAGCCCTGGTCTTGCCTCTTTTTGTGGCTCCCTAGTGTCCAAGTCCAAACTCTTTAATGTGACCTACAAGGCCCTGCAGGCCCCTTGGCTGTCCCAAAATCACCTCCTCCTCTTCCAACATACAGGCATACACACTCCCATTTGGTCCCTAAGCCGCAGTACCTGGGCCATACCTCCAACTGCCCACCAAACTGAATTAGGCTTCCTACAGTCACTTCCTCCAGCAAGCCCTCCTGAACCCCCTCATCTGGACCAGGTGCTTTCTCTAGACTTCCCTATTCAGCGCCACGACCCTGTGTTTTAACCGCTGCTTTTCATCTACCTTGACCACCACTGGCCCAGGCCAGTGCTGGGCACAGAATGGCACAAAATATTGGCAAATGGATAAAGAAATAAGGAAGCTGGGTGGGGTTCAGAGAATCTGAGCAACTTCTCTCAGGCCACACAGCTCCTCAGTGCCAAGCAGTGTCAAGCCCCTGCTGTCCCTGTCCCCAGACCTCACCACCTGCTAGTCCCTATAGCTTCCCTGCCAGGTCACCTGTTCCTGGAAAGGGGTGGCATTTTCCCCAAGGGCCCAAAGAGGGAAAATCCCTTGCCCAAGACCACACAGCAAAGTCAAGCCCCAGTTTACCCACATTGGGCAACACTTCTAGAATACTGTTCTAAGGTTTCTACACAAATTCTCTGCACCCCCTCCCTCAAGTAGGAACTTGGGTTAATTCCACTTAAAAGGAGAAGGCCCCCCTCTACAGCAGATTTCCCCAGCCACCTGCACTGGCTCCTCCTCCTGCTGCTCCTCCTCCTCGCCGGTGACCAGAATCCTGTGTCCTAGCCTTGTCAGGCCGGGCCAGCTTCTTGCCTGCGGAGTTCCTGGTGGTGTAGCTGTAGACAGAGGTGTAGCCTTGGCCGGTGAGTGGGCAGAAGCGGCGGGTGTGGGCACGATCTCGAGTGGCACCGCACTGAGGGCACACGTAGTCTCGGAGAATGGGGCACAGCACCCGGCCTGCCTCATCCTTGAGCATGTGGGACTGGTAGATGGCCCGGGACTCGCCGTTGTGTTTGCAGAAAGAGCACAGGCGTTCCGGAGCTGGTGAGGGTTCCGGGCTGGATCTCTGATCCTCGGGTCCTGGCGCTGGTTCTGGCTGGGAGTCCAGCCTGGTCTCAGGCTCTTCTTCCCCACGCAGAGCCCCCACCAGACGTGCCAGACCCAGGTAATCTGTCCACAGGTCG